CTATCTGTATGTCTGAGTCAGGATCTCACTAAATCGCTAAATTGTCCAGGCATGGGTCAAACTTTGCTGATTTTCTTGAGTCTCCCAGAGTGCTACAATTATAGGTGTACCGCCTTGTATTTATTTTTAGATTAGATGTGAATTGTTTTTTGAAGTATATGTGGAGAGATGTGAGTGATTCATGAATGTGACTGTGACTGCCTGAAATTATATAATGTACTATGTGTGATTATGAATTATGGGGGAGGACTGTGGATTGGTGGTTTTCTGAATGATCTTTGATTATTATTGTGCATGTGTTTATGTCATACTGTTCTTTTTTTAATCTTTTATATATTGATTTGGTACAGGGTCTCACTACACAGCTTGGACTCATAGTGATCCTCCTATCTCAGCCTCCCCAGCACTGGGATTACAGGCATGTGTCACCACTTCTGGTTTCGGTGGCCAGCTCAGCTTGGGGCTGGCAGGGCATGCGGTACCAGGGATTGAACCCGGATCCTTGAGCTTGACAGGCAAGAGCTTAGACTGCTGAGCTATCTCCCCAGCCCTAATACTGTTATTTCTGATGGTCTTTGTGGCCATGGGAACCTAAATACTTAAATGATTGAGGAACTCTGTATGACTATGTCTAGTTGTATAATATTTGTCATTGAATACCCAGGATGTCTGCCTCCAAAGTTTTAACTAAGTAGCAATTTAGCAAATAAAGTTGTAGCCTGACATGGTGGCACATGCCTGTAACCTCAGTACTTTGACAAACTAAGGCAGGAATAACCCAACCTGAGCAACTTAGCGAGTTTAGTCAGATTCTGTCTCAAAGTAAAAATAAAGGCTGGGATAAACCAGGCATAGTGATATGGTTGCTTCAAGTTCAGGGCCAGCCTGGACTATGTATTGAACTTAAAGCTAGCCTGAAGTACAAAGGATACCTTGTCTACAAACAAACAAAACTATAATAGCACATGAGGGACCACTTGGAGACAAAATGAGGAAGGTCAGATTTTATTCCTCTACCTACAGGCAGGCTGAGATCAGATATCAGCAAAAATCTAAAGGAGGACTGAGTGTATATAGGTTTTAAGGTTGGGGACACAATTTTAAAGAATCTCAAAGAGTCTGAATGAAATATTTTGAGTTTAGGGACGTAAAGACAATCAATGCAGATTGGTACACAGAGCTGGTCAGTGACCTGCAGGGCCACCTTAGAGCCATGTTAATTTTTTTCTTGCCTGTGGTTGTTTACCAGGGGCAAGCTGTTACCAAATAAAGGAGAGTTCCTTGTTTGTAGTGGGCATCCCAAGTCTCTCTGAGGCTACTCTCAGGCCGGTCCTGACAAAAACCAACCAACCAAATAAATAAATACAACCTGAGTTCAATACCCAGTATCACAATAAATAATAATAAGTTTTAAATATTAGAAATAAATAGGTGAGATTTTTGTAATTTCTAGATGGTGAGAAACTTCATACTGGGGCCAGGGAGATAGCTCAGTAGAATAAGGGCTTGCCTGGCAAGTGGAAGGGCCTGAGTTCAATCCCTGGTTCCGCCAAAAAAAAGGAAAAGAAAATAAACTTCATACTAACTAAAATGAATGTGTTGAGTAATATCCTGTGGGAAGCATGTGGAAAATAACCAGTACATTTTTATTTATAAATATCATTTTCTACTCTTCTGTACAAGTAGATTTTTCCCCTCCCAGATAAAATCAGTGACCAAC